AAAAACAACCAATGTGAAATAATGTCTAAAAATGGTCGTTTCGTCTGAAAAGCGTAAATGGGGACAGAGCATACTCCCGTTTCGTACACACGCTGATGTAACTATTGGCGTTCATTTCACGCACAAAAAAAAACACCCGCTTCAAGATTTTAACGTTTTCCGCAACGAAGTGGCCGGGGTGAGATTTTCTTTCATTTGCACGTCGACAACAACGGCAATAAATGTGTGTAAAATTATTGTGTACCGTTGAAAATTGCCATCTGCTTTCGAGCGGAGCTGGTTTCAGAAACAAAACCTTGGAAGTTTGCGCTCACAAAACAGGGTTGATGTGAGGACAAGGTTGAAGTGATGGACTCTCATTGCACAATGCGTCGTTACATCCCTATTTGCACGGCGAATGAGATGGTGTACTTTGAAATTTTCTCACTTGCATAGCCTTGGAGTTTTTTAAATAAACCGTCAGAAGCTATCCTCAAATTCACATTTACTCTAGAAACTACTTACATGTACAGAAACACTTGCCGCTTTATACACACCGTAAATGAATCACGACTTTGATGGTAAACCAAAAATCGCAGTTTAGCCGTCATAATGATCTTCTTGCATTATTCCTATTAAGACGAGGAATTGCCTGGTTCATGCGATAGGGTGACTTAAAACTTTCTTATGCTAATAGGCTTTTCGTTAGAAACATTAAACCTTAAATAACGTCCCAAAAATTGGCACTTTGTCACAAAACCATAAATCTGGGCAGCAAACCTCTCCACTTCGTACGCACACTGATGGGACTTAAGGCCCTCATTCTGCACCCCGAAGTATTGTTTTGAAAATTGGCATCAGATTGTTGTTAGTTAAACCTTGCCATTTCTTAGTACGTAAGGTGGCCTAAGCTTATATCTCACCAAGCAATTAAGAAGAAAGCCTGATTTCGCTTTCAAGCTATGTAGAAGTGTGTTAAAGGTGCTTACTTTATGTTCACCTAGTGGCGAGAGCGATAGCTGACCATGGCCGTTTTTCCAGAAAAGGTCAAACGTATGAAAATGAGCTTTTTGGTACAAAATGAAAGGTCGTGGTCCATCTGAGGTGTATATTGAGCGGGAAGTGTTTTTGTGCATGCAAATATGTTTTTTAATGTTGCAACTTGCATTATCTGAAGATGACTTTCCAATAACTCCAGAATTACGAAAAGGAAAACCTTGAAACGAAGCCAACGTCTTGGTCGTGCAGTTACGCGTCTAATGACCTATAATACCATAAAGCTCCACGAAGCTGAAATGAACCATTTTTTGTCCACGGAAACTTCAAAGTGCTGCCTCCGCAACCACGTGCGTTCGAAAGCACATTTCACTTGCAAGCAATAAACAATGATGTTGCAAACTACCGGGGAACCAAAGTCTAGTATGAAACACAGGAAGACGGATACACCACAGAGATAATATTCCAACAGTAATCCAGAGGAAATAAGCTCAGCTGCTCCCGGCAACGCATAAGTCATATTCATCGGACTCAAGTGTTGTGGCTCAACCGACATCGCCGGCGCGATGTGCTTATTTCTTATAAGTGTGAATCACATTACCCAGACTCGTGCATGAGGTACGCTACGCTAATAAACATAAATGTACCGTACAGATAGCGTTGATTTTGCTTCGGTGTTCGGTTTCCAGTGCTTGGCTCATTGCCTTAGGATTGCTGTTGGCGAATTATCTCGTCAGAGTGCTTATTTTGATGGCAGAGTGTTTTTCAGGTTTCGCCCCTTGAAATGACATAAGAGGTGCACTAGTTTAGAAGGGTGCTACTACAGTCCGTCGTACTACATGATAGCAACATCTCCCGGCAATGCATGAGTCATATTCATTGAACCGGAGCGTTGTATGTCAACGGACGTTGTCGGCACGATATGCATTTATTTTAAGTGTGAACCATATTATCGGGACCCATGTGCGAGCTGCATGTTCGGTGCGGTACATGTGCGCTAATAGACGCAGATGTACCGCACCGAAAATGTTGGCTTTGCTTCGGTTTTTGGTTTCCGAGGCGTGGCTCATTTCCTTGGGATTGCTCTTGGCACATTATCTCGGTAGAGTGCATTATGTCCGCGCTGCCGCGTGTTTGAGCCGGTCCTGCACTCGCTCCACACTGTGCCACTAAGGTCATTCTGTGTTTACTGGAGCTGGAACACAGCGGTAACGTACAACCCCAAATATCTCTCTCGCCAGACTGCCCTGCTGGCGGGTTGGACGGCTGGCCAAACGGGGCTGACGTGCCATCTATAATCACTTGCCCACCCGCTAGGGCGGCGACACCGCACCCTTCCCCCTGAAGATTCACTTCTCACAGAGACGTTTCGGCCTGCGCCGCCTCGTCGCGCGCCGCCTGCTGGTGCGCCCCAGATGGCGCACGGCGCACCCCTGCTGGCGCGCGAATCGCTCCATCAAGGGCCGCTGCTGCTCCAGGAACACCTCCTGCTCTGACTGCGTTTTCTTCCCCACCTCAGACGAGAGGTTCTCCAGCTCGGCCAACATCATCTGGCGCCGGCCCTCGTCCCCTTCCAGCTGCGCCGTCCCAAGGCGGGTGTCACCAGCGCCGTCTGCTGGACCGGCGCCCTCAGCCTTCTGCTTCTGGTGCTTCGGTGCCAGGCGCTGCATCTCGTCTTAGTGCTCCTGAATCAGCTGACAACGGACCTCGCTGACCATCCTCTCATCCTCCTGGTGGACCCCTTCGCTTCCTTCTTTTACCGCTCCACTGTCTGCGCCATTTTCGTCAGGCGTTTCCTCTCAAGCTCTGTCACTTCCTTTGTATGCTCGCGCTCCAGCTCCGTCCTGACATCTCGCCTCTGGGAGGCCAACTTGCAACCCAGCTGCTGCCGCAAGGTGGCGACGCGGCGTTCGAACTACACGCGCAGCCGCAGGACAGATGACCGGACAGTGTCATCGCCGTCAGGCAGGCCAAGGTCGGTGAAGCTATCATCTAGCTCGGCTGTCTCCTCTTGCCTGGTGGCTCCGGCAGTGGCAGTGGCGACCGGCTCAGCCCCGGCCGGCTCCGGCCGGTTGCCCGGCCGGCCGGTAGCATATCATCTCGGCAGAGTATGTCTTGGATGTCAGAGCGGTTTTCATGTCTCGCCAATTGGAATTATACAAGACGTGTACTGCTGTAAGAGGGTGCTACTACAGCCCGTCCACACGACGCGATGGCAACATCTCACGGCGATGAATAAATCATATTCAGTGAGCATTCGGCAAGATGTTTTTTTTTTATAAGGGTGAATCGCATTATCCGGATTCGTGGATAAGGTGCACTGTGCTAATACACGTATATGTACCGTGCCGAGAACGTGGGCTTTGCTTCGGTCTTCGGTTTCGGGGCTTGGTCCATTTCCTTAGGATTGCTGGAAGCGTTTTAGCTCATCCGACATTGTCGACTCTTTGCATGTGTGGTTCATTTGGAAATATCAATTCATGTTTCACAACAGGAGGCAATATAGGAGGTACAAAAAGTGCAATTATAAGGCAGGAGGGTACGTACCTTTCTGGTCGTTGTGCGACAGTCTTTTCATTCCCTCGGCTCTCAAGAGCATTTTAAAAGCCTTGTGAAAATGCTGAAACGGGCGATGCCCCTGGGAAGGCTTGACGATAAGTCAAATCCGGCGCTTTATTGACGCTTTTTCTGTTGTAAATAAGGTGCTTACTCGCGCTTGTGTTCGTTGCGTGCTGCGCGTATATTGCTCGATGTGGAGATTTGTCTTCTGAAAAGGTGAGCAACTTGCAGAATACTGAGTCTTATGATTGTTCTGATGTTTTTTAATATTTTTGTTTGAAATTGTCCTTGAAACGTACCTTGCAGAGATTGACCTATGTGAAAATCGGTGGTTGCTGTACACAAAGCTAAGGATTTAGTTTTACTAAATATATGCTGCAAAATTTTCCCTGCAATGTTGGTGCTATCCTAGGCATGTTCTGCATGACATTTTTTCTGCAGTCTGCTTTGATGGCCCTAATCCCCATTTCCATTCTTTGAATAGATTGTGGGTGAACTTTGCCTTGTGGGGAAATCTTAAAAACACTGATATTGACTCAGTAGATTTAATGTTCACCTGTCCCCTCTCATCCATCTGTCTGATTGCTCAGTCAGTTAGAGCCCCTGCCTGCTTTTTGGATATTCACTTTGACGGGGTGCTATTTGCCCTTGAGAAGTTTCAAGTGAGGTTCCACTGCCAGCATCCAACTTGAAGGTCTGGAGACATTAGGGCAGTCATCCTAGAAGTTGAGAGATTCAAGAGGGAAATGTTTAAAAGTATTCTCAAAATCTTGGGAGTAAATCTTGCAAATATTTGGATGGCAGCATGCCATGCTCATTTAGCTGTAGATGACATGCCTAGATAGATTGTGTGCTTAACATTCTGAGAGCTTTTTCCTACAGGCACCATTGTTATGTGACACCAGTTGTAGTATTGTGTCCCACTCAATTCTGGAACAATATGTAAACTGGACAGTCTTCAGGAATATGACACTTTAAAGTCCTTTGTAGTGTCCTTAATTTGATAAAAGTTGATCAAGGTCATTTTAGGTCATTCACCTGTCCTGATGTTCATGGAGTCAAAATATGTAATCTTGTGATGTCTGTGTGTTGCAAGAATTCAAAATGAGCATCCAAACTCCCCTTAAAAGCAAGTTTTTTTTACTCATAATGTGGTTTGATTTTGGCCTTGATCTGACCTTCATGTTTGACCCAAGGTCAATACAATTAATCATAATCATATTCACAATTGTCTGCTTGCCAAGAAATCATATGAAAGGTATATGACTTCATCCAACATTCCATTGTCACATATTGCACAATTCCATTACAATTGTCTTCACTAACTCAATGGCCTGACTTGTCTGTTTATGACTTGTCAATGGGCTGACCTGGCTTGACCTTAATAGGTCAATGACTTATGAGGTACATCTAATTTGTGTATAAAAAAATCATTATCCGATTGATGGCAGGTTAACAATACTTGGTGCGACTAAGCGGCACCATTCCTTCAACACTGGCCAGAGTATTCAGACAAGGTACCCACTTATTGGATCCTGTAAATCCACAGTAAGCAACTATATATATAGTTATATATATATATATATATATATATATATATATATAAACTCAAAAGCTAGCCTGGCTTATCCGACGTGTTTTTGAGTGGTTGGCATTCATACTTATCCACAAAATGATGGCCCCCTGGGAGACACATAGCTTTCCCATGGAGATGCCCCATTTCTAGCAGTACTAATCCTTACTGGAACCGAACACGTTATCATGCGAGCATTGATCCTGTGGCTAGGCGTGAAGTTCTGAACTGTCCCCTATACTTTGACACTTGTGACAGTGCTTGGTACCCTGATGTATTGCTCTATAACAGCCTCCTTCATTGGGAGCTGTTGATGACAAGAGCGTGGCACGCCCAGGTCTGCGTCTTTGTATATCAGAGGTATCAAATGGAAGCGGGCACATTGTGGCGCTTGCGGAAGTCTTGCGGGGGCAGCAGATTACCCCAGGCCTGTCAGGAACAGAGACCACGTTGAGCAGCGGTCCGTAGACCGGTTTCTGCGGAGCCTGCTGATTGCAGCGAGCTGGACCAATGAGTCGTCGCCGGTCGCCACGTGGCGGCAGCGGCGACCATGCGGTGATTAAAAGTCCATTCGGGTAACTTGTCAGTCATCAGTGCTACTTCAGCCTGACACAAAGCTGTCGTTGGGCTATCGAATGAAACTCGCTCGGAGCTGCCATTACCAACGGATGTTGTGCCAAGCGCTCACATGATTAATCTTCGAGTGGTCAATTCGAGAATGGTTTTCTTTTCAGGGATGGAATCCATATATGAAATTTTTATCCTTACGAGTTGCTTGAAGCTTCTGCTGATTCCAGCATAGTAAGTAAATGCCAGGCGGGTGCCGGTTGCGTGTTCAAGGTGTCGTTCATACCGTTCTATTTTTTTTGTCTCACACATGAAGCAAATGACAATGAATACAGTTTGTGAAATGTGTGACATTGTTGGAACGGGAATAGCTGAATGAATCATCTATATCACTTTTTGGGAGCGAGACGTAATGCAGCATGCGCACCATACATATATTCTGTCATTGCATACTTGCCACCATTATGTTGTGATATGGGATGTGCCATGTGCCCTCAGTCGAAGCACAGACTTCGAGGTCCACCGTAATTGGCTGGCCATAACCCATTCAGTGCCGGTGCGGGAGTGGTATACAGAGAATACCTCCGAATGGACGCTGGACTACCCGCCTCTCTTCGCCTGGTTCGAATTTCTTCTGTCTCAGCTGGCCGTCTTCTTCGATCCGAGGTTAGTCTTGCATTCCATGTGTGGCGTAGGCAGGATTTGCTCGGTAGGGGGATTGGGAAGAGGGGGGGGGGGGGGGGGAGGCAAATCGGGTCGTAGATTACCTAGGCCCAAACTTGTCATTCAAGGGTGCCTCCTTTTCTCGTCTGTTTTTTTTGTGCGTGGAGAACCGTCTTTTTGGGAATTGGGGGACATCTTGGAGGGTCTGGATCCTATGCTGATGCCTTTGGGCCCTTTATCTTTATGTTTTGGGAGGCATACTTGTGTCTCAAGCTGTAAACAGTAGCCTCTAAACGGAAGAGTCCATCAGTTTTCCTGCAATGCGCGAAAATTTGTCATTTCGGAAATGACTTAACAGCTCCTACAATCCCAAGCAGCCTAAATTTTGCCACTTCTGCATATTCTGTTGCGGCTTTAGGTACGTGGACTAGAACACTGTTATAGGGGCGATGCACTGTCGCCCGGTCGCCTTTAGTAAGGCGTAGGCTGAGGCCATAACTTCGCAAAATAGTTACAGCTTTAGTAGAAAATTGTAAGGTGCTCAATGTACCAATGCCAATATATGCTGCGCCATTAGTACGCCGCACCATCCACACATCCAGAATGTACCAATACCAATTGAGTATGCCGCACCACCCACACATTTGACATAAAAGCGATTTTCGCTGGGCCCACTCTTTGATATACTGCTTCTGAAAAGCATAAGACCGCCCCCCCCCCATCCCAAAAAAACACATACTGTTTTTTCGTAAAATAAGCTCAACCTTTACCACTGAAATATAGTTCCTTGGGCACGTGATCGTCGGCATCATAACGACACTGACAAAAGGATACGTACTGAATTTGCCACTGTCGTGCACTGCCTTTCATGAAGCCCGCACGAAGCCTGGAACCTTCGGAATCATTGCGGCTGAAATGAAAGACTCTTGGCGTTGATAGAGAGGCAAGATAAATCAGAAGACACCTCGCAAGCTTTTACGTATTGAGCTGAAAAACGTGATGGCCGGACGGTTAATGCCTTGGACTTACACGTTAAGGCCCGAGTTTGAATCCCGGCTGTGCCTTTCCCAAGAGCGCTAGCATGGCTACTAGTACAATCGCTGGCGCCCTAGAAAGGGAGCGTGACGACGGACGTCGCGTTCCATTAAAGCAAATCTGGATAGCGACCGTTCAGTGCCTGCAGCCTTCGCAAGACCGCCTCAATATGATCCAAGTTTGGCGAACGTGAATCTTATCTCTCGCCACTTCGTGGCACGGGCATGTAATGAACACATCAGATGACTGCACCAGCCACTTTCCGACGTGTGGTTACCTCACTGCTCCCTGCTATTTGTGGCCTTAAGAGCTGATCGCTCAAACTCCATGTCCGCGTCGCACCCGTCGCCCGGCCAGCGGTCCCCAGGCCGCTGCAGTCACCAGACCCGTCAAAGAGCTCTGCATGTGCTGCGCCCAGCGATCGGTGGGGCTGCGCCGGCCGGCGGCGGGGCACTGGCAGTGCTAGACGACTGGACGTGGCGGCGGATCGTGCCGGCCGCTCCGACGCTAGGTAGCGCACGTGCCCTGCTGGCGGCGCCACCCATTATCCGCTGGAACGTGACGGACGCACGCGGCGGATCAGGTCCGCTCTAAATCACAGCAGGGAGCACCGGCGGCGAACGGCGCGGCCAGCGGGCTTGCGAACAAAATGACATTCAAGTACTTTTTTTCTCGCTAGGTGGCAGCCATAATGAGAGATCCCGTAGGGGCCGGGGAGGTGGTCTAGCCCCCCGGACCCCTGCAGACCTAATGTGTGTGGGCCAGGAGTCCAGGGGCTACTGTTCAATCCCCGGGGAATCAAGGTGCCCCTTGGCAGGACTCCTTTTGGGTCTCGGAGCACAAAACCATATGAACGTGCCATGCCTGGCCACTGAGGATCCCCTCTCGCTGCACATGAACTTCACTGTGTATCCATGGTCCCTCTGTCCACCACTGAGCACCTTTGATTGCTGGGGTGCATCTCTGGCTATACATGTGCTCATCTGGCAGTTAAAGACCCTCTAGGTGGTGAGGGCGTACTAGCCTGCTTAGCGGCTCGTTTATTCAGTTGAGTTTAGTCAGTCTAATCATTGGGCAGAGCCCTTCAGCTGTACCCTCACGCCCATCCGGGCGCTGGGACTGTGGGGTGGGGCAACTGCTCAGGACTCTTCTGGCCGCTCACAAGCTCGCCCTGCCGCCCAAGAATCCTCCGTCAGCCGCTCCTCCCTAATCCTCCCACCCCGGAATCCTCCACCAGCCGCTTCTCCCCATCCTCGTTTCCTCACAATCCTTCCTCAGCCGCTCCCCCATCCTTCCCCTCAGAATACTCCCCCAGCCGCTCCTCCCCCATCCTTCCCCTCAGAATACTCCCCCAGCCGCTCCTCCGTAATCCTTCCTCAGAATCCTCCTTCAACAGCTCCTTCGTTATCCTGCCTGACTCAGAATCCTCCCTCAGCCGCGCCATGCTCGGCACGCCAGAAGTCGCATTAAATGTCAAAAGTCTTATCTTTACCTAGGACCTCTCCGGCCACTCGGGATGTTTCGAGATACCGAGGGACCACCATGACCGCTGAAGATACCCTCTGTGTGTCGATGGACCCATGTCGTAATAATCCGGGTCCACGACATGAGTGCTACAACAAAAACTTCCACCGACACCAGTGCTACGACATTACGTCTACGCCAGTACTTACACACGACATTAGTGCCACGCGACAAAACTTAGTCTGCTAAAACTTATACTCGTCATCACTTCTGCTCCAAACACTTCTACAGTCATTACCTATGCGCGCCTTGACTTCTGCTGCAAACACTTCTACAGCCATTACTTATGCACGTCATTACTTCTGCTGCAAATACTCATGCGCTACATAAGTGCTACACGATACAATTTAAACTTCAAAAATGTATACTCGTCATTTCATGTACTGCGATAAAAGGTATAGCCATTACTTATACAGGACTTAACATAGGTAAGGCAGTAGTATTAGCGTTATTCCTCGAGAAAAAAACCCAGGAGAATGGAAATATAGTGTGATCGATTTTTCGGCAACATGTCTTTATCGAAACAGAAGCAGAAGGCTTCTGTTTTGGTTTCGATAAAGGCATTTTGCCGAAATATCAACCAAATTATATCTCCATTCTCCTGTTTTTTTTTCTTCGAGGAATAAGGCTAATACTACTGTCTTACCTAGGTGAATAATGTTCCTCGCTAATGCACTGAACAACTTACGTAATATAGGACTTCATTCCTATTGCAAGTACTTATACGCGGCATCAGTGCTACACGTCAAAACTTATGCCTCAAAAACTGATGCCCGTTATTACTTTTAGCGTAGAGTTCTTTTTTACCGTAAAATACATTGCTCACGCACGGCACAACTTGTACTGCAAAAACTTATGTGCGGCATCAGCGCTACAGCAAAGACTTGTAGTCAAGTGTAGAAGTAGATGATAGAAGATAGAAGTAATGACTGGTGTATGTTTTTACAGCAAAAGTTTTGTCGTGTAGTACTCATGGTAGGCATGAGTTTTGGTAGTAGAAGTAGCGTCGCGTGAAAGTGAAGGTTGTATGACTCTTTACTGTATTAACATAGGTAATGACTAGCATACACTTTTTCAGCGTGCGTTTTGCTGTGTAGCCCTCATGTTGTATATGAGTTTTTGCGGTAGAAGTAATGCCGCGTATAAATATAGACTGTAGAAGTTCTTGCAGTAGATGTATTGACATGTTTTTGGAGCATAAATTTTGTTCTATAACACTCATGTCGTGTAAAACTTTTGACAGTAGAGGTAATGTCGCGTATAGCTGACGTAGCACTCTTGTCGATAGTTTTTGCCATAGCACTTATGTCATGGCACCTAACCTCGAGATTCTAGAACTGTATTAACCCCAAAACCTGGGATTGGAAAGTCTCGGGACTTCAAGATCCCCGTGAAATTTTTGCCGTATAAGAAGATTTAAACAAATCGTCGCTGGTGGTATGTGTAAACAGGAATGAATAATGTTCAATACATAAGATTGAGGAAGTCGTGTGGTGTTGTAAAAAATCTCACTGTACCTTGGGAATTTTCGTGAAAGCCATCTGCGTACGGCCTCTACGAGAACCCTGCTCGGCATCGCTTCACACCGTGTCAAGCTCCGAGCTCGAGCTTGTCTCGTGTGCGCCGTCTCCTCATGTACGCGGCGCAACAGCTCGTAGTACCCGAAGACAACGATGCAGACTATCGAGTCGGAGCATGTCGGGCGCCGTGTCTGTTAGCAAGTATGTCCGGGGACTTTATTGGCGCCCGTGCCTCTTGACTGAGTGACCCCGCCAGGTACCCGGGAGCATCCTTGGTGAATTGTGCTCAATTTAAAGGACCGGATTGTGGGAACACTTTCGTAGAAATCAAGATGACGACACAGAAGAGTGTTGTATCTCTCAAAAGGTGTTGAAAATATCTGGAGGCTCCATGAAGGGACTTCACGGTCACCTCAAGAGTAAGCATGGTGGTAAAGGTATTGCTGACACACCTCAGACACCTCAGCACGGGTCTGGGTGAGGCCAGGCTGAGAGCTCCGGGGCAACGGCACTGCCTCTGAAAGGAATTAAGACCATTAATTGCCACAACCTTTCTTAAACAGACGGCGACCTGAACGCTGTCCCAGCCAAAATGTGCGCGATAATTGGCCACCGTTTGCAGTTTTCTGCACCTCGTCGGACATACATACCTCGTCGGACTATTGATTGCTAAACAGTGTAAAAACCTTGGACCCATCATAATTCACGATCCACCGGCATGTCCTCAGGCACTGCGCTCGCTTAAAATTTGACGTGAAGGTGAGGTGGCCGAACAAGTGTAAAGGCAAAATGTTCTCGCTCACAATGGACGAGTATACGTCCTTGAGAAACCGACATTGGATAGGCGTGAGTGTCCACTGCGAACGTCATATGTGCGGTCTCGGTGCTGCAGTGTCCTGGAATTGCCGACCTTGGTTGTGAACC